GTTGAAGTTGTTTTGTCTGTTATGTATTGAGGTCTGCCCATGTTGAACATAGAGGCCTGGATCCATCCTGTCTAACCTGAAGAGTCTACAGAAACATGCATGGTGCAGAGTATGGGTAGGGATTGGTTGTCCTCCATCTCTTCCACACACAAAAAAAGACTAATAGATAGGTTCAAAAGGAGTTTGTTCTTCATGCCACACTTAGTCAACCTGAATGACTCCTTTTTAAGGGATACTGAGGGCTTTAAAAGTTTGTGCATGTTAAAGGAAAGATGGGACATGTACCTGGAAGAAGAGTCAACTGGGTATTGCTAGTGGGACAAGCCACGTCAGGCTCAGAAACTACCTCAGCTGAAAGCAGTTGGAGGCTGAGTGTTAAGGGGAAGTATTACTTAGGCTTGCCTAAGTGCCTGCCAGTCTGCTGTGTTAGCTGCAAAATAGAGGATACGGGGCTGGGTAGAGCACCAGCATGAACCAGCACAGCCATTCGTGCATTTGTGTGTCCGTGTTAAGACACAAACCACTGGCTACTTTGTCTGTGGACAGCAGGAGTTTTTAGGTAGCAGTTCTTCTCTTAGCTTAGTCATCTTGGTGAAATGCCGTAAGATAAGAGTAATTAATCCAGGCTATTTTATTTTTCTCTACCGAATTGCTGATTCAGTGGTGCAAGTGTGGCTTTTGTTAGGCAGGCTGGTGACATGCAAGCAGCAGCAAAAGCCCATTAGTGAGCTTGGCATAAGAGGCCGTGTCTCTCATATAGCTAGATTAGCTGTGTGTTTTCCTGTATTGTGGAATGTGGTCAATAGAAAAGCACTTTAGCAACTTACACAGGAATATTATGTAGCAAGTTCTAAAGTGCTTTTCTGCTGTTTCCCATCCAAGTGATTTTTCATGGTGCATTTTGTAAGGAGTAATTAACTGCAAACAGATTTAAGTGCTGGGGACTCCCTAGATCTGTACCAGTGCTTGTCCTTCAAATGCCCAAACATGAATCAAGTACAAATGTGAATGTTCACAGCCAGCACCGTTCATTTGGTAACAAGCATGCATTTAGTATTACACAAAACACAGCCATCTAGCTCTTGACAGTCCCTGTTTGTCCTTGCATTTGCAGGGAAAAGGGGGGCGTTCATCGTTGTTGGTGAACTTTTTAAGTCTATTTTCATTTTTAGTATCAGTCTATTCCTTTTCCAAGTGTGTTTCAAAAATGTCTCTGACACTTTGGCCTAATACCCAGGTATTCCAGCTGTTATTCTAAGATGGTGGAAATTAAAGTTCTGTTGACTTCACTGGAGCTTTGCCAGTTTTTCTTAAAAGTGGATTTAATTTCAGAATGTTTTGTGAAGCCTAGATCTGACACACACACACTGCATACACAGAGGGTGCTGGGCAGTGGCTCTACCGAAACCAGTAGCCCAGAGAAGGGGAATCCCACTGCAGAGCAAGGTTTGTCGCTCCCACCTTTGATCTCATGTGGAAATGAAATGTTCTATCTTTTTCCAAAGGTGGAACTGTGTCAGACAGTTTTTTGCTGACTTTGCTAACCCTGAGAGGTTGGGAATGTGATTCTGACTGAAGGTAGACTCTCACATCATGTTCAGTCCAGCAGAGAGAAGGTCTGAACCTTGGCCTCCTGAATTCCCTCTTGGTGCCCTAGTATCAGGTCACCGCAACTTGAAAACATTTTTTTCTCTCACAGCACAAACCTAAGAAAATACCTAGACCTAAAAAAATACCTCTACCGGTCTTGGTAAAACTGAAGTACTGTTTTTGTATTTTATTTATTTATTTACTTATGCTCAGTAGATGGAGTCTGTTCCCAAAAGAGTCTCTGCTTTTCCCAACTGTATTATCTCAGCTATTAAAAGTTACTCTCTCTCCCTCTTCTTTCTTTAAACTGTAGCACCTTTGGTGGTACCACCTCTGAAGCATTTCATATCACTGAAGTAATTCCAGACAGCACTAAGGACTAATATAGGATTCATATGCACAAGAGCACCAGAACCTGGGTGTATTAGTAATGAATCCATTTGTAAGGGTATCTGTTAAACTCCATGAATAAGTAGTTCCCAATCCTGACTTCATTTAGTTGTCTGTGTGCATAATCCTGCTGCAGACACTAAAGTTGATGGTAAATCTCCCATGGATTTCAGTGTGTGCGAGTTGAGGCCCTCATATATTAAGGGCTTATCATTGCAAATTTGCTGAAAGCACCAAACCCTCATAGCTCATATGTGCCTCATCTTCAGTCCTGCAGAGATATGATAATACCAGGTTTGTGATAGCAGAGTCATTTCCATGGCAACAAATGGAGTCAGAAATACAGATTGTGACCTTGCTGTGTGACGATGCAAAGTAGAGGAGCTGGGCTGCAAAGACAAAAGTTCATCAAACATAAATGCCTATAGCCCTAGCAAGAAGGTGTGAGAGAAGCAGCAGATAAATAAAAAATGTTTCTCCTGCTCTAAAGTTTTGCCCCTAGGTGGAAGTCCCTCTGCTGACTTATCTAATGCTAGAATTTGCCCAAGTATCTTTTCTGGTCGAAAGCTCCCAGAAGAGCAGACAGTGGCTTGCAAAAAAGGCCATTTCAGATTAATTTGTTCTGGAGGATAAGCTTTGCGTGGCAGACCTGTTTTACAGCTCCTGCCTGTAAATCAGAAAGCAAGACATTTGACAAATAGCATTGCAATCTCATCACACTTCTGAGAGTTCAATAATGTGTTTGCTTTAGAGATCAGCATGGAGAGCTGCCCTCAATAACCTACTCTGAATCAAGCGAGGCATCAGTAGAAGAATTGGGATAGGAACACTTGGAGGGACTAGTCTCACCACAGCATGGTCATCCTCACAAGCCAAAGCCAAACTGGAATGACATTAAGGCACCTGCTTCCTGGCTGTGGCAGGATAGAGATGAGATGCAACATGAAAGGGCCAGTATTTCCTGCTGGTTCATAGGAAGAAGAGAAGATGGGTACAGCATCTGGCCTGGTGATATAAGAACAGTTTCAAAATGAGGTGTCTTTCAAAACGAACCTTAAAAAAAGGGCAGTTGTAATGCAGCAGTCTGACATTAGGAAGGCTGACAGCCTTTGTCACAATTGTGTGTCAGTAGGATTTGGGCTTCTAACTCTCCATTTGATTTTGTGAGGACCTTTTGGACACTCTCAGCATTTACGTAGTCATTGGGTCCTACTCTGCCACAACATAAATGGTAGACTTTTTTTATTTAACTCTAAGCTAATCTGCCACAAGCAGAACAATACTTGTTAAATAAATAGAAACAGACTTACCCATAGCTTCTGGAACCCGGAGAAAGCCTTATTCTGTATAGACAAGACAATAAAATCAAAGCTCCTGTAATTGCCTTGTTGCTGCAGTTGAGAGGAATGAGAAGTAATCAGTGATGGCAGAAGTTGCCAGTGACAGCCCATTGGCTTACACTGACTACACCAAGGAGTGAGAGTTTTGTGGAATTACAGAGTAAAGCTTAGAAAGCTCTGACTAAGAGTTGCAACTGTTGTCCTTGCTCATAATGACTTTAGCACTGACTATAAACACATCCTCCATAGGTTTTCTCAGTCCACGAACGGTTGAATTCCAGAGGAAATGAAGGATTTTGGATCTGGCCTCTAGGACTAGGAAAAGGGAAAGTCCCATTAAAACAGCGAGTTATGCCAAGCACTTTGGCTAGTGTTTGCGAACAGACTAGAGGATGAGCAGATGACTCCTGTAATAGAGCCAGGGCAGCAAAGCTTTGATTTGGTCAGTTAATACGAGCTACACCCAGTGGCATTCCCCAAAGGGTGTTTAGAGTCAGAGTCCCACCTACACCCTTGTGTTTATCCATTGCCTACTGACCACTCGCAGGGCCAGGGTCCTGGAGCCTGAGTTTTTGGTGACCTCTGTGAGCCAGTTACAAGCTAGACACTATGCAGGTCAGAAAAGAAAGAGCAAGTAGCTGTTGCTCTGAGGCAACCACATCTGCCTGATGCTGCAATTAAATCTCATCAGCCCTTTGGTATAATGGAAGTATCAACTATGGACGAAGGGTTTCACGGCACAACTGTCTTGCTCTGTAACTACAACTATAGGTTTGCCTTCCTAGTTAGGTGCATAAGCACTTACACAGAGCTGCAAGAGACTAAGAAGATTGCCCAGCAAGGGAAGAGACCCTTCAAAAAGCAGGAAAGAGTTATTACTTCCTCCACCACCTTTCTGCTTCCTTATCTTCTCTGGTGATGTTTCCTCTGGGCTGTGCATGGTGGTGCTTCAGTGCAAGGAAGGCATGGCCTAGTATGGCATCCATAGAGGCCAAAAGCCACAATTTTATGGGCTCAAATACAACCCAAAGCATCTCAGATTTTATTTCCCCAGTGGAAAATGTGGATTCCAATTCAGGGAATATTCTGAGCAGATATTTGGGAGGCAAGCTGATACCTAATGCTGTAGCAGCATTAAGTGTTGCTTTTATGTTATGAATATAAATCATGTTTCATGAAATAAGTGGATTGTTCACTCTTTTGTTCTTTTTTTTTTGTTTTGTTTTTTTCTGAACTCTCTTATAGACAGTTGCATACAGCCTTTCTGTGAAAAAACACTGTTCAGTTGATTGGCAGGAGTTATCCAAGAAATCTGCCAATGGAAATCTTACTTCTTAATTAATATTTCTTGACTCTGTAGCCACAAATCTGTTCTCTCCTGAAGGTGCCAATCCAGATTAAACTCACAAGGTTTAATGAGATACCCTAGATCTGCATTAGTATCAAGAAAAGAAAACTGATATGTGACTTTGTGGCTGCTCTGCAGTGAATGTGACTTTAACGCCCTCTTCCCAGTCGGATGTATTTTCTCTCATTCTCTCAGAAGGCTGGTTCTGCTTGGACAACATGGTTGAACAACTCCTTCTGCCTCTCTCTCTGTTGTACTGATGTATTTGAAATGTGCCTGCCTACTGATTTCTTACGTTGTGGCTGACTTGCTGCTTGGTTTGTGCCTTGCAGAAGCGCTCCGGAGGTGTGTGCGCTTTCCTGCGCCGAGCGTGCTGGGCAGCGCTGCCCCTGCAGCTGCTGCTCCTGCTCCTCCTGCTCCTGGCCTTCCTCCTGCCCCTGGCCGAAGAGACCCACAGCTGCTCGCTGGCCAACAACTTCGCTCGCTCCTTCAACCTGATGCTGAGATACGAGGGCCCTCCTCCGACCTAACCGCTGTGCACGGCACGAGGTGAAGATCCCTGCAACACAGACTGCCTCTCTCTTGGTTTTGAACAATTGCAAGTATTGTAGATTTTAGGGCTTCCATCGTATTAACTGGATTTGCCACATAAATGCAGCATAATTTTAGCCCGCATTAATCAGGTATTATTGCAAATTTAATATTTTTACAGTATTTTATGATTATTTTATAAAGTGTATATAGAGACTGTGTATGTGCATATGCATAAACACACACACACGTATATATATATAAAAAACATATCTGGTCAAACTCATATCCACTGTTTGGGGATAATCGTGCAACGTCTCTGTTTCTGCCATCTTTCAGCAAGGAATATTGAATGCTATTTCTTGTTTTATTTTGTTCTGTTTTTAAATCAAATTCTTGTTGTTTACAGCTGAAGTCAGAGTAAGAGAAGATGTGGGTATGCACCATGGTGAAAATGGGAAAACTTCAGGCAAAACTGAATCATGTTTGAACACAGTGGTCAGCATTCAGCCCAAGCAAAATTTGAACAGTTCCTTTAAAATCTTGAGCTATTTTTTCAGTAGCTCAGTGCAAGTATTGCAGAAAGCAATGGAAATATTCCAGCTGACTTCAGTAAGAGTGGGGGCGGGCCTCCCCTTGTTCTCATTTTTAACAGTTGTTTTTTCCAGTTATTGTGTTCTGCAGCCCACCTGAATCAGGAATGTAGTAAGAGAAAAGCTGAAACAAAACACCCTTATCTTTCATACATACCTACAGCAGGGGAACTTTAAGATCAAGTAATAATTTTCTGATCAAATTTCTGAGGTCCACTAAACTATACCTTGTCTTTAAAAAGCAATGAGGTTTTGTTTGTTTGTTTGTTTTGTGAAGAGGCATTTGTGCCTCTTTAATCATAAAGCCAAAAGAGTTGGATGCATCAAAGACCGTCAAGCAAATATAAGCTTCCAGATGATGACAACTTGTCATTTATTTACCTAACATTATGCCTGATTTATCATTTTTAATGTACACTTTAACATTGCCTTTTAATGTAAACAAAATTCTCAGCTTTAATGTGATGAAACCATTTTTGTGGTGTTTTACCTAATTAGACTTACGGGAGAAGTAATTGCTAACATTTTGTGCTGTTTCTGAGGGCTTTCTCTATTTTACCTTCTTTTTAGCCTCAGTGATAATCCCAAAAAAATACTAACAGAAGAAACAGTTACTTTCCCCATCCTAGCTGTGATGTGGGAGGAACTTCTCTTCTGGGAAGCAGCGTGTGGTATTCAACATTATTTTCCAAACAAGTCCCAAATAATATTAAATCTGTTGTGCAGGTGAATTATTTAGTACCTGAGGGATTAGAGAGGGGGAAGACATTTTTCTGTCGCAAAAAGAAACAGGCAAGTTTTGCTAGAGCAAGAAGGCTTGATAGAAGACAAGAAGATACAGAAGCAAGGGGCTTGTTTTAGGCACAGAGCAGAGGAAAAGGGATCTGGAGAGCAGGTAGAGGGACACTAAAATCTTAAAGGTGAGGAGACACACATTGAGAAAGAGAAATAAGACATTCACAGCTAAACACAGAGGTAAAGAAGGCATGACGTGTTCTTTCTTTCATGAAGGAGCCAGATGGAAAGGAGCTATAATTCATCAGAGAATGGAGCAAATTAATTCCTTCTTTGCAAGTGTTCTTTCTGGCGGATGGACCTCCTCCTCTCCCACGATTAGCTGCTCAAGAGTCAGGCACATTTTTGCAGTGCTCCTATAAAGAACTGCTGCTAGTCCTGAGGGAAGAACCCTGAGGCTGCACGGCGAGGAGCTAATCATCATGCACATCTCCATTTCAAACTAAATGCTCCAGGAGAAAAGAAACGTGGGGGAAGAGGGACTGTGGCGAAGCCTGCTGTGCGGTTGTTCGCAGGTGTACATGTGCATGCACTTTTCTGTGGCACAGCTACAGTGCAGTGCTGTGAGCTTTTCCCTTGTGCTGAAGGGAAAATGCCAGTGAGAGGGAAAGAAAAAGAATAATGAGGAAAAATTATAACCACTAGAGAAAATGAGCAGAGTAGGATGAGTCTTAGCTATGTATGCACAGAATCTCACATCAGTTTCCTTTCTGACCTTTCTAATCTGGGTGTTTTTTGTGGGTTCACAAATGCATGGATCATCACAAAAGTATGCAGCTGGATGATAACATTTCCATGGAGAGGACCATAGGAGAACGTGAGAGAACAACTGCATCATCACCTTGATATTTCAGGGCTGTGACAGGTTTAAAAAAAGAAAAAAGAAAATAAAAAAAAAATAAATTAGAAACACACTTTTGTTGCTGGGTTTGCATTCAATTTATTCTGTAAGTCTGTAATCCTGGAGTCTTTTTGCTTTAAATCTCAGTAAATCCATTCTCGTAAACTTCAAATAATTTAAATTTATCACATAAGTGATGAATCTTTCTACCATTTTGCAGTGGAAATTATCCAAAGCCCAGTGGTTTTCATCTCGCTTTGGACACTTCCATTCTTCTATAAATGTCCCTGACCTCACCAGGGTTTGTTTCCTGGCTAACGCAGATGAGAGATGAAATTAGGCCCTTTATTTTTCTAAGAATGTAAAAAAAATCATAAAAGTAAGTTTTAAATGTAGGTCCCAAACTTACTGTACTATTAATTCTCTGATTTAAGAGTTTGAGCTACTGATTTCTAGGAGCATAAATACTAAAACAGGCAGTGGTTTGAACAATGAGAACAAAATGCCTGGTTCAGCTTCCCAGAACATGAGCGAAGCTCAGATTCCTAAAAATGCATATTAAATCATTTACCATTAAAACATTTCCAAATCAGTCATTAAAATCTTGAGCATTATTCTTCAGGCCTGAGCCTTCGTTCACCTGTGATCTGGGGGTCATGTGCTAGCTTTTGTACCTCTAAACTCCCAGCTTGTACCTCTCTGACATCTATACAGGACATGTTTTATAGCTCAGCTTCAGATTGGGGCCACTGCCTTAGGACACTCCTTGCTGAAAACCTAGGAAGGACTAAGTGTCTGCAATTGTGTACTCATGCTATGTTATTCTAATCCAGATCCAGCCAGTCAGAGTGCTAAAACCCCTAAATAGAACAAACACATTTGAGCTTGTACATTGTGCATCTGTCTCAGGCCATGTAGGCTGTGCTGCATGCCGATCCCCAGCCTGGTGACAGAGCACAGCTCTTGTACCCCTGCCCAAGCTTTTTTTGCCTGCACTATTGGACCCAGTATTTGACTGACCCTCTTAATGACTCTCCAGTGTTGAAGTAAAATCCTGCAGTCCAGTGCCCATGTGTTAAAGTAAGGATTTTGTACAGCCCCAAGGGCAGACTTCAGACTCAGCCTTTGGAATGAAAGCAAGCCTAATTTATATATTGTAACTGATTTGGTAGCGAGGCACTTTTAACAGAATTTTCTATGACTGGAGTATAGCGAGCTAGAAATTTGCACTTTTGCCACATGCTCATTAATAACCCCTTTACTGACTTAAACTAGCAATTTAGGTTGTATTACATACTATTTATATATGAGCTCTTCAGAAATTTCTGTATGAAAAACATAATCTCTTATATGCACGCACATTACAAAAATCATGTTCTCCCGAGCACAGAAGCTTCAGAGCAATCATAATAAACCCAAGGTTATTTACCCTGGCTGAGACACCTGCTAAACTCAAATATTTGGGGCTGAAAAGGAAGTCACTAAGCTAACTGATAACCTAATGGTAACTGAAAGATTTCCAGACCCTGAGATTCATTTGCCTTTTCTCCTTAATCCTGTTCATTGGGATAGTCAAAGACTCCAGAAAGAACAAATGCCTTCTAAAAGTCATTAGATGTGCAGATAGCAATCACTGCATAGGAGAATGAGTGGCATCTTCATAGCTGCAGTAGGACCTCAGGAGTTGGCTCAGTCTGATGTCTTCTTTAATATTAAATAAGAAACATTTTACTTTGATGTGTGCATACAGATCTCATTAAAGCTAATGAGATTTGAAGAGTGAGTTTATATATAGGAATTCTTTTAAATTTCGTCGAAGACAGAATACATGTTTCTCTTTCCTCAAGCAAAAGATAAAAATCTGTATAGCAGAGATTCCCAGAGGAAACAAAACCTTTGGGAATAACTGAAGATTACAGACTGAAATTTATTATCCACCCTAGTAAAGTGGAGGGGTAGTCTTGCCTTTCAAGAAATGCTGGTATAGATACCTCAATAAACATGTCTTTGCTGGGCTCATTCTTTTCTTTTCAGGTCATAGATTATGTACCCAACTGGCTAAAATAACTGATTTAGAAACTTTATTATCCACTGGTAGTATCAGTTGCAGGCTTGCAGCTGAAAACATGTTTGTCCAATGAACTATATCAGCTTCTCCAGAGTCGCCGGAGGCCGTCAAGGATATTCTTAGTAGTTCTCAGATCACTGACCTGCTATGAGCCGTTACAAGTTTATTGCATTAATCTAGCTGTCAGTTGTTGGCAACTCTCACAAACCAGTTTATTAAAATACTAAAGATAACATTGTCAGTACAGGCATCGTGATTCATTCAGAAATCAATCTTATTACTGTGTCATCATTAAACATAATTATAAATGCGTTATGCTAGGTCATAATCAGATTAGTCATAAGTGTTGCATAACTGTTGCATTTTAGTCTCAGGACTTTTTGACTTGCAAATGTGTTTAAGAATTGTGCATCATTTTGGACTTCGTCAATAGTAAACAGCAAAGCTAACAATCTTGAATATAGCATTTTCCAAAGTGTATATAGTGAAACAGAATCATATGTCACACAGTTTACTTTTTTTTTAATTATCTTTGATCTATCCAGTTTTAAAAACAGGTATCTACAAGAGAGCTATCACCAGATATGGTGGGGGAAGAGAATGCATGAGGAATATACCAATAAAAGCAGGAGCCTAAATGGCACCATTGTTACCTAACAATTTTAACATTTGCAAGGGTTTAAATAATTATCCTTGTAGGGTATCTATTCTGCTATTAAATCACGAGCAAGAATGAGCTGCACTGCCGATGGGTTAACAACCCAGTGGAGGCAGCAGGAGACATTTAAGTCTTCTTCTCCTTCATCTCCGTGCAGGAGATGAACCTATTGGTTTGACCTCCTTTTTGCAGCTATCCTGGCATGTTGAGAG